CCAGTCATAATGATAACTATAAGTCACTATACCATTCATTTGCAATTTTTTCAGTATATGAAAACAAAATAAAGTTATCTATAATTTTACATCAACGAAAACATATGGTAAACAATTCAACAACTTCAATATAAAATTGAAATCAGGAAAATGTTTTATTAAAGGGACATCTCTCTAAACAGAGAAACCACGCCCCCATTGATCATTAACATGAACAAGTCTGTTAACGACCGGTTTTCCGGACCTTGTTTTTCTGTTAACGACGATAGAAATTATTACTGAATAATAAAGAATGTCATGTGGCCCCTTGTTATCCAATAAGAGAAGTTATTTCTTAACCGATATGAAATAAAAAATATATAATTAATTTCAAAATCATATAAGAGTTGTAAAGTAACATATCAAGTCATTGTATTTCTGATAAGATTCAATGCGTTAAAAAATATGTTCTACGTTAAAAACTAAGTTGGTGCACCAAAATAAATTTAATCCTTTAAATCTATATTCCATCACCTAGACAATAATAAGATATTCTTTAGATACACATTTTTATACGACCGCAAAAATTAAAAATTTTTTGGTCGTATATTGGTATGACGTTGGCGTCGTCGTCGTCGTCGTCGTCGTCGTTGTCGTCGTCGTCGTCGTCTGGCGTCGTCCGGCGTCGTCCGAAGACACATTGGTTTTCGCACTCTAACTTTAGTTTAAGTGAATGGATCTCCATGAAATTTCACCATAAGGTTCAATACCACGAAAGGAAGGTTGGGATTGATTTTGGGGGTTATGGTACCAACAGTTAAGGAATTAGGGGCCAAAAAGGGGCCAAAAATAAGCATTTTTATAACTTTCAGACAATAACTTGTGTGTAAGTGTATGGATCTCTCTGACATTGTACCACAAGGTTCCATATCACAAAGGGAAGGCTGTAATTGATTTTGGGGGTAATTGCCTCAAAATGTTAGGAATTAGGGGCCAAAAAAGGGGCAAAAAACAAGCATTTTTCTAGTTTCATGACAATAACTTGTGTGTAAGTGTTTGGATATTTCTGAAATTGTACTACAAGGTTCCATATCACAAAGGGAAAGCTGGAATTGAGTTTGGGGGTAATTGCCCGAAACGTTTAGGAATTGGGGGCCAAAAAGGGGCCAAAAATAAGCATTTTTCTAGTTTCCAGACAATAACTTGTGTTCAAGTGTATGGATCTCTCTGAAATTGTACTGCAAGGTACCATACCACAAAGGGAAGGCTGGGATTGAGTTTGGGGGTGATGAATCATAAGGGGGTTCAAAAAATTTGGGGGGGGGGATTTTTTTTTTTTTTTTTTTCTTTTTTTCCTTTTTTTTTTCTTTTAAAATTTTCCATTTTAAGTTGGTTATTTCTGATTTATATTTAAAAGCAAATAATAATGATATGGTAGGAGATACACACCAAACAGGATGTGTAAATTATTATATAATAAGTATTGTGCAATAGCAAGAAATTTTCAATTGCACAGTATTGCACAATAGCAAGAAATCTTCAATTGCACAGTATTGCGCAATAGCAAGAAATCTTCAATTGCACAGTATTGCGCAATAGCAAGAAATATCCAATAGCACAATATTGCGCAATAGCAAGAAATTGTCAATTGTACAGTATTGCGCAATAGCAAGAAATATTCAATTGCACAGTATTGTGCAAAAGAAGATACTTCGTATAAATTGCTTATTTCTTGATCAATTTCAATGGGGTTTTATTCTTGAATTCTTGGGGTTCTTTAATATGCTGAATCTAACCGTGTATTTAGATTTTTAATTTTGGGTCCCGTTTTTTAAATTGGTCTACATTAAGGTCCAAAGGGTCCAAAATTAAACTTAGTTTGATTTTAACAAAAATTGAATTCTTGGGGTTCTTTGATATGCTGAATCTAAACATGTGTTTAGATTTTTGATTATGGGCCCAGTTTTCAAGTTGGTCCAAGTTGGGTCCTAAATTAAACTTTGTTTGATTTCAACAAAAATTGAATATATGGGGTTCTTTGATATGCTGAATCTAAACATGTATTTAGATTTTAGATTTTTGGCCCAGTTTTCAAGTTGGTCCAAATTGGGGTCCAAAATTAAACTTTGTTTGATTTCAACAAAAATTGAATATATGGGGTTCTTTGATATGCTGAATCTTACCATGTATTTAGATTTTTTATTTGTGGGCCCGCTATCAAATTGGTTCATATTGAGGTCAAAAGGGTCCAAAATTAAACTTTGTTTGATTTCATCAAAAATTGAATTATTGGGGTTCTTTGATATGCCAAATCTAACCGTGTATTTAGATTTTTAATTTTGGGTCCTGTTTTTTAAATTGGTCTACATTAAGGTCCAAAGGGTCCAAAATTAAACTTAGTTTGATTTTAACAAAAATTGAATTTTTGGGGTTCTTTGATATGCTGAATCTAAACATGTGTTTAGATTTTTGATTATGGGACCAGTTTTCAAGTTGGTCCAAGTTGGGGTCCAAAATTAAACTTTGTTTGATTTCAACAAAAATTGAATATATGGGGTTCTTTGATATGCTGAATCTAAACATGTATTTAGATTTTAGATTTTTGGCCCCGTTTTCAAGTTGGTCCAAATTGGGGTCCAAAATTAAACTTTGTTTGATTTCAACAAAAATTGAATATATGGGGTTCTTTGATATGCTGAATCTTACCATGTATTTAGATTTTTTATTTGTGGGCCCGCTATCAAATTGGTTCATATTGAGGTCAAAAGGGTCCAAAATTAAACTTTGTTTGATTTCATCAAAAATTTAATTATTGGGGTTCTTTGATATGCCAAATCTAACCGTGTTTTTAGATTTTTAATTTTGGGTCCCGTTTTTTAAATTTGTCTACATTAAGGTCCAAAGGGTCCAAAATTAAACTTAGTTTGATTTTAACAAAATTTGAATTCTTCGGGTACTTTGATATGCTGAATCTAAACATGTGTTTAGATTTTTGATTATGGGACCAGTTTTCAAGTTTGTCCAAGTTGGGGTCCAAAATTAAACTTTGTTTGATTTCAACAAAAATTGAATATATGGGGTTCTTTGATATGCTGAATCTAACCATGTATTTTGATTTTGGACATTGGACCATAATAGGTAAATTAAAAAAATTGAAGTTCTTAGACCACATTCTTTCTGTGTCAGAAACCTATGCTGTGTCAAATATTTAATCACAATCCAAATTCAGAGCTGTATCAAGCTTGAATGTTGTGTCCATACTTGCCCCAACTGTTCAGGGTTCGACCTCTGCGGTCGTATCAAGCTGCGCCCAGCGAAGCATTTTATTGTTATTTAAAGCTAAAGCTTTATAAAAATAATATAGGGGTTGATTGCCAATGAGAAAACTACTCACCAAAGACCAGAGGACGAGGATGTAGGCAATTATATTTTCGACATTACAGGGGATAGAAAATCAAAAGTATGGCAAAATCTTATTCAAGAATGTTGTTATAAAGTTAAAAATATTGATTATTTCAAAAATAATAAATAAATCTAATGATTCTCAATTTCCACCATCTTTAAAGCCAGATCGATATACTTTCGTAAATGATGCATGAATCTTGTTTTGTGTCTTTGGATCAGAGATAATTTAATAAAGTATATATATTTTTAGATATTAAATAAAGGGAAATCGATGTTGTTTTAACAAATACATCGAATTGAGTCACCAGTGCTTATTTACCATGTTTACGTAACAAAACCGAGCTCCTATAAAGAAAAATAAGCCATTATCTTTTTATTTTATTTTGTCGAATTAACATGTGAAAAAGGAGCACATTGAAACTTTTATTAAAATAGTGATTTAGTCAATATCATGACTATAGATTTATATTTAAATGTTGATCATATTGTTGTTTCGTTATGGTTTAATACACATGGGTGCACATTTAAAAATAACCTCGACAAACGCCATGTTTCTTTTTGTATTGGATTTACTAGTATACGATCTAATTGGATTAAAAACATATTTCATACGGTATATAAGGATCTAGAGACAATAACAAACCAATTGATGTTAGCTTCAGGATATAGTGGCAATGTATTCTTTTTTTACACTTACAAACGATAACTTTCGTTTTCTCAAGGGATTACACTTTGTTTTTTAATGGAAGGGAGGGATTTTTCAAGGAGGGGAAATTATTTTCTCTTTGTTGGTACACCAATTTATCTATTTCGTGTGGCATTGTCGATGCCATTTTTTTTTTAAATTTTTGTTACATTTATTTCCTATATTTTGTTGGACAGAGTATTCATTATCATCCTGTCTTGAGCAAATCTACTTGTTTTCATGCAGTTCTTACAGGGCCAGGTTATTCATTTAGAAAACCTTATGTACGTCCCATAAAAATATACTGGTCTTCCCTTATATTTACACATTAGTAAATATCAAAGTTAATTGTAGGTGTTCAATCATTACCAACAAACAATAACTGCGTCATCAAAAACTTTAAGTTTGAATTTACAATTAAGAATCATGTCGATGTTATTTATATTTGACATATATATATATATATATATTCATAAGATTTATAAAAGGTGCTGTCAGAATTTAGTCCATAACTTTCAGCGAATTTTGAGGACTTGCTCGGGTCCTTGGACCTTAGAATTCAGTAAAAAACAAAGAAATTGGCAACCTAGATGACTAAAGGTGCATGGTATCTTTTTGGTCCAATATCGTTAAAGATTCATTGTTAAGTATATTTTATATTTTATCCAATCGTTTGATGTGTTTGAGCTTTTGGTTTTGCCGTTTGATTAGGGACTTTCCTTTTTAGAATTTTCCTCGGAGTTCAGTATTTTTGTGATTTTACTTTTTTTAGACAACTTTATAATCTTATAACTAGTTAATTTTTTTCTCGTAACGTAAGCATAGACATACAAAGAGTGGTTCATGGTCGTATCCGTCGGGACTTTCTGAAAATAATTAGGACCGGTTGTGTGATGCAAGATCTAATTCGTATCAATTTGTTTTAATTTTAGAGTTCTAGCTGAAGATTGCCTCAAAATTACAAGGTGTATACGCGGGACAGATGACGATAGAACATAATCATGTCATTTATAGGAAAGGCGTGGCAGCATGTGAAACATTGGTGGAATGGGATAGATGGAAAACGTAAGATTTTTATTGTTTCGGAATCGTTTATGACCCATTTTGTATAGGATTCATGTTCCAATTCAGTATTCTCGTAGTATTGGTTTAGCCCTCTTGGCAATGTGAGCTATTTCCATCACTTGCAGTCCGTCTTCGTCATTGCCCTTTGTCTAACCAGACCGTCGTCTTAAACGTAAAAAAAAATCTTGGAAGACAATAGACCAATTTAAATCAAACTTAGATTGAATAATCCTAAGGGAATCTTGCATAAAATTTGAGTTGTTTCGTTCCGGCTTATCAGCCAACATGGCCACCATTGCTTAAAATAAACATTAGGGTGAATTGAAATAATTGATGAAATCAGGAAAATTTTTCAACAATACTGGATTTACAAAAGTGTTAAATAATCGAAACTATTTGGTGTCTCTTTATAGGAGTAATGGCCCTTAAAGAGTACATTAAATGCTACCAATTATAAAGATTTGATTCAAGTGACAAAAAAAAAGTTATCCCAGATAAAGAATTTAAATCTGTTTAATAATGCTAGAGATATTTACAGAATACAACCTGTTCGTCATTTATAGCACAAATTACCGCTTTAGTGAGATAAGCCTTGGAGAGTAGACCCCGTCTTTTTCTATTCGACGGAGGTTATGCATACTATAAATGTGGTATTAGGAGGGTTAGTATAAGACAATTTCGAAAAGTCGTCTTCATAGACACTTTCACCGACACCGATACCTACACTGACTACAAGAATATAGGGACCGCATCAAAATGTCGAAATATACTGAATGTATGACATCGTAAAACTTGGTTGCAGAGGAAAACAATATTCTGTAATTTGATTTTACATATTTTTTATGCTGAATAGGAGCGCTCTGATTAGTTTTGGATTATTTTAAGTAATAATTTTGTGGCTTCCATCTGTTTTTTTTTAACTGTCTCGCAGTATGCAACCATTCAAACGGAATACAGTGGTATTATAGCATATACATTAAGTTAACATGTCACCATTTCTTTTAAATGTGCTCTAGCATATTTGTCTACCCAAATCTATATGTTTTTTTGTTAAATTTCAATCGAACACTACTTTTCATCATTGACTCAACGTTGAAATCTGACGTTTATTCAATATTTAATCAACGTTGTTGTGCCTGCTGGGTAGACCATTGCATAGCTGCATGAACACATAGATATAACGGAGGGCAGAGGTTATACGGATGTGACAGAGATCTGCCAAGTATTGATCATCAACGGATAGCCATGACATTAAATGCTAACATTTAATCAAATTCAATTATTGAATATATATTGTGCATTGGACCAAAGTAGCGAATGTGTTTAGGAATAGCATCATCAATTTAAGCGGACAGGGTACTCCTCGCAGTAGATGGTCCCTACCATTTAATACAGGAGATCCAATTAATAATGTGATATAGGATGAGAGATCGCCAGACAGATGTAAGAGAAAGAATTCTTCCCATATGGGTCCCGCAGGTTTATTAGTATTTCACCGATAGGGATTTTCCCACCATAGATAGGTACGTCCAAATTCAAAATGCATTCGAAGAAGTGGACAGCAGGCATGTTTCCCACCATCATTACAGAGACAATACTCTAACTCAAGAATATGACCAGAAACCAGTGAAATCCCGAAGACCAGTATTAATGGTATACGGACAAGGCCTCTAGCTCATTTTGACACTGCAAAACATTAAATCCCTTGATATACACCAGACAATACTAAAAGGCAAGAAACAAACAGTCGCTGCAGCATTCAAAGTAAGATCTGAAAGTATAGAGGTGTTAAATACAATTAGACGTTCCAGCACAATTGTCAGTCTTTTATGGAAAAACGTGGTTAAAAAAAATCCTACAATATAATGGATATTCGCAAATCATATTTCGAAAAAAAAAAATGGAATTCATAAAAGGGAGTGTAATACGCCTATTTCAAGGAATAAAAAAACAACTTTCAAGTACTCGCAACGAAAAAAAAAATCATGTTATCAATTTTTGTAATAAAATGTATGAAAATAATGGAATTATTTTTGGATTGTAGAAACTTTTTTGGATGTTATAGATAGATAACGTGCTTTTGATGATCCTTTCAATTCGGTTGACAGTTATGATCTCTCAACTCTTTACACTACACTTTAATACTATCTATGAAACATAAGATTTCTTATTTTAATAAATGGTTTTTGAACATCGTGATTGCAAATTTCTTTTCTGCAACTGATTTAACGCATGCATCTGTAATGAAAAAATAAATATGATAGATACTTGAACTGTGTTCAATGAGATGATTAAAATTTCCAAAATTGGTTTTCAACTCCTTTTGGAGTTATTGTCCTTAAATGACCATGTTAGCCAGTACTTTGTGATTTTGCCTATTATCTTGAGAGCTATAATAAATGGATGGGATGAAATTTAAATAGCAAAAATGATCAGCAAAACAAGATCGACATATAAGTCTACATAGCCCAAAATGTCTGTCAACTCCTTATAGTAAAATTCGTAAGGGTTCCGCGGAACCCAGTGTCTCGCCTACTTTTTCTGTTAATCGCAGGCTCAACAAAAATGAGGAAGTTAATCAATAAAAATATTCCTCTTGATACTATCTTTTGATTGAAAGAAGCTTCTGTCCAAGTTTGGTAAAAATCCAGGATAGTTTATGAATCTAATAAATGTTTAAAAACTTTAACTGCAGACTGAATGTAATGTTAACTGGAAGAAAACAAAATTTCCTTCTAGATACTAGCATTTGATCATAAACAAGCTTCTGTCCAAGTTTGGTACAAATCCAAAATAGTATAAGAAAGTTATTAAAATTTTAAAAACTTTAACCACAGAGTGAATATGTTGTTTCCTGGCAGAAAATCTAAGTCCATTTAAAAGTAAAATATGGAAAAAATGGATTTATTTTTTTACAAAATTTCCTTCTAGATACTAGCTTTTGATCATAAACAAGCTTCTGTCCAAGTTTGGTACAAATCAAAAATAGTATAGGAAAGTTATTAAAATTTTAAAAACTTTAACCACAGAGTGAATGTGTTGTTTCCTGGCAGAAAATCTAAGTCCATTTTTAAAAAAGTAAAATCAGGAAAAAATGGATTTATATTTTTACAAAATTTACTTCTAGATACTATCTTATGATCATAAACAAGCTTCTGTCCAAGTTTGGTACAAATCAAAAATAGTATAGGAAAGTTATTAAAATTTTAAAAACTTTAACCACAGAGTGAATGTAATATTTCCCGGCAGAAAAACTAAGTCCATTTATAAGTAAAATACGGAAAAAATGGAATTTTATTTTTACAAAATTTACTTCTGGATACTATCTTATGATCATAAACAAGCTTCTGTCCAAGTTTGGTAGAAATCCAGAATAGTTTAAGAAAGTTATTAAAATTTCAAAAACTTTAACCACAGAGTGAATATTTGTGGACGCCGCCGACGACGACGACGACGACGACGACGCCGACGGAATGTAGGATCGCTATGTCTCGCTTTTTCGACTAAAGTCGAAGGCTCGACAATAAAATGACTGCGAATGACCTTAATACCAATGATGTTTCGTATTTGCCTGTTATTTAGTCTGCAGGACAAGACCAACTAAATGTCAAGATTTACTAAATTGTCAGTTAACTCTTTATAGGAGTTATTTCCCTTTAATGATGGTTTTTACCATTAGAAAAACTTTGATGGATAACGAAAACTGTAAACAACAAAATTTATCACCAAGACAAGAATACCAATAGGCCGAACCAAACCGAACTTGTCAGTAGACTCCTTTTAGAAGTATTAATAATTTTAAATGACCGCGTTAACAATTATTTTGTACTTTTTTGCCTAAAACTATAGTAATTGGAAAAAAATGGGGATTTAAAATTATCAGCAAGACATAATAACCAAAAAGAGATTTAAGCTATGAATTATGCTCTACTCTACAATGTTGGAGTCACTATATTGAAGATCCACATTGATTTAGGCGAGTGACACTGGCTCTTTAGAGCATCTAGTTATGTTTTGTCGCGGTGTTATGCGTCTATTGACGATTTATGACATAAATTTTAATCGCAAAATTAATTAACACTAGACTTTAACAAACGTTATTGATCTTGTTTTCTTCCTGCAACTGATCTATGAAAGTCCCATTTGCATTTTAATTGTATACTTTATTAAACAAAAACCATGTTTCACTATTTTGTATTTGAAGATGGTGTTTGTATAGACCAATATCCAAAAGAAAAGGTTCTTATCGGAATAGGAGGAAGTACCAAATTATCAGCTAACGTGACGACCTCGTCTCCGGAATCGTTCATAAAATGGCACAAGGTGGAAGGTAACAAATCAATCAACCTCCGAACAGATTCTATCAAATATTCCGGAAGTTCTTGTTCTATGCCGATACCAGAACTGGTTATACACGATGTAGACAAAGCAGACGACGGTGTTTACCATTTATCTGTTACTACAGTCACTGGAACTGTTACCGGGCCAAAAGTTCTTCTGAATGTTTTTGGTGGTAAGATATTAACACGTATATATTGAATGAAAAACAAACAGTTTAAATATTACAGTTTTATTATGTATTTGTAATTATTTTCCAATTCTTTTTCTAAACCAGATTTTGATTGAAAATAACTTTTTAATTAATGTCAGGTGGTACATTCATAAGGGTCTGGATGGGGTTTACAAAATAGATAACAATCAGTCCAAGAAAAAATAATAGGCAAGCATGGCATAAACTTGTCAACAATAATTGATAGCTAAGGTATAAAGAACAGAGAATAATTGGCAAAAAAGAATAGAGAAAAATGCGAACAAGAGTAAAGAATACAGAAAAGAAGACCTCCTTTATCCAGAACCTCATAGAAGATAAAGAACGACCGGACCTCCTCATTTCATCAGTATGGAGTGAATGTCTTCTTAACCTCTTTCACGTCTAGGTTAATCGGTGTTTACTCTTACCTTCTTTGTTTTTGTTAAATGTTTTATACAGACATGATTTAACCCACCCGTTGATCCATTGTTTAACAAAATTCCCTTAATGTAAAAAATATACCTTTTCAGATCCAGTTATTTCATTGCCGAAAGAGGAACGCAACTTTCTTCGATACTATCTCCTTTGTCAGACAATAGCCACTGAATCAGTTCGATTGTATTTCACGAGAAAAGTTCCGGAACCAACACTGTCAACGCATTTGAATACTCACAAGAGCAATCTACAATTTAGTTACTGGAAATGTACGAATGACCAGTTAACTATCCTGTTTCCAGGTAGCTATAAATTTGTCAGATTTTAAAGTATTAATCTCGTTGATACATACACAACTTAGACGATCGTCATATCAACTTGGCAGGATTGAATCGATATTGCCATGCTAGGATAGATGAGTTTCTTTTCCTATGATTAGAAATGGTCTCTAATATTTGTCATTAATTTGTTTGATACGCCACATGTTAATTAAAGGAGGACGTGTGATAAAGCTACCTTTTTGGCCCCTTGAACATGCAAATCAAATTTTAATTAAATATGCCTTTCTAAATGCGTTAATAGATATTCACACAACAACTAACCCTATTTCTCGTATCAAACATAAGCTAAAAGAACTCGCCAAGGAATTTGGTTTTTGTCCCGGCTGATGTGGCTGCTAATAGTTTCATTATTGTTTGACGTAAATTTTACATTGAGGTTCTGCAAATGAAATCACGAATTCACCAACATTCCAACTGACTCCATTTTCAGAAAATGACATCTGTAACAAACATAAACTAGTAGCTTCTTCTTTACAAGCAGAACCAAATACAATGAAAGTTTCCACAATGTACTGCCTTTCGACGCTGCACAAAACACCTTGCAAATATAGATTTATTTCGTCTTGAAAGCATTGTCCCACTACTAAACTGTCTATTCTACTTACTAGTACACTTGGTACAATCAAAAACCTGGTAATAAATTGTTCCAATAAGGTCATAGTGGAATTAATTACTTTTGGAGTGTCAAAAATTTCGTTTGAATACTTGATAATTTGCATGCTTATATTGGTGATTTCGAATCTATTCAAAGTTTTCATTTTTCTACCCTATATACCATTTTGCCTCATATTCTTATTTAGAAAAAAATCACACACCTAATTAAATGGGCATTTAAAAAGTCAGAATGCGAATATATATATGTCCAAACAGTTTTAGGTCATTTTTTAGTAACAACAAACAAAAGATATTTGTCAATTGGACCTGCTTTGATACTTTAATTGCCCTTGAATTTTTACTAGATAACATTTTTGTTCGCTATGGGGATTCCGTATTTCGTCCAGTTATCGGATTTCCATCGGGTACTAAATGTTCACCACTTAATGCGGACCTGTTTTTTTTATTGTTATGAGTTACAATTTTTGACTAAAATCAGCAAAGACCCATCGAAACAACATCTCATAATGTAATAACACTTTGAGATATTTGGATGATATATTTGCTCTCAATGACGACTTCAGTATGTACACTAAAGAGATTTATCCGGCTGAACTGACTTTAAATGAAGCTAATACTTACAATAAACACTGCCCTTTCCTGGATCTTGATATCTATATCATTAACGGTAAGCTTAATATAAAAATGTCGGATAAAAGAGACAATTTTTCATTTCCTATTGTTAAATATCCATTTTTAGATGGTAACGTTTCCTTGTCATATCGCTCGTGTATGTAACAACGTATTTGATTTTAACGAAAGGAATCTCTGTATAACTGAACAATTATTACACCAGGGTTTTCGATATCACAAACTAGCCAAACATTTACTAAATTGTATCATCGGTACAAGGACATCATTCGTAAATATAAATCAACATGCAGACATCTTATACGTTCAGGTATTTCACATCCAATCTTTTATGGTAATATTCTTCACAAAGCAAAACAAAAATGTTTGCATTCACCTAAGTAGCTAACCAAACCTTTAAACAGATTTATTCAGACGGAATATAGTTACGATACTGTTGTCAGGTCATGAAAGATTGTATATTTTGGTTTTAATATTGATTACTCATATGGTCTTTGCATCGGAAATAAACAAATTTATTCTAAAACCAGTTGTTGGCATGATACGGGTTATGTTCTTCTCATATATTTTATGATGGTATCAAACTAAACCTCTAATGGGAGGGATTGTGCTTGATTTTGATATGACGAAGACCAAATCGTTCAATCAGTTTAATTGAGGTCTGGAGCTGGCATGTCAGGCATACACTGCTAGTAATCCTTTGCTAATTTATGTATCATTGTCATTTTGCTAAGTTTCTTTAATTTGTTACCTCTTCTGACATCGGACTCGGACTTCTTTTAAACTGAGTTTTACTGTGCGTATTGCTGTGTGTTTGTTTTTTCTACATTGGCTAGAGGTATAGGGGAAGTGCTGAGATCTCTCTAAACATGTTTAACCCCACCACATTTGTGCGCATGTCCCAGGTCAGGAGCCTCTGTTAGTTAGTCTTGTATGATTTTTAATTTTAGTTCATTTATAAAATTTGGAGTTTAGTATGACGTCCATTTTCACTGAGCTAGTACACATTTTTGTTTAGGAGCTAACTAAAGCCCGCCTACGGGTGCAGGATTTTCTCGATGTGTTGAAGACCCATTGGTGGCCATCGGCTATTTTCTGCTCTTTGGTCGGTTTGTTGTCTCTTTCCATTCTCAATTTTATGATACACCAGACTGTCAATCATCAGTATCATTAGTATCTATATTTTGTAAATTTTTTCTTACATTGTTGCATGAGGGCTCCAAACGTCTTGCATGGTGTGCATTTGAGTTGGACAATCTCATTTTAGACATGTTTATGACGTCATAGCATCATCAACAACATGATTTTTAGATTCATCTAAAATTTAACTTGATGCAGCGATTACATAGCGTGATAATCGTAGTAGTGTGGTAGAATCTTTATCTATGTCAATTACACCCATATGGGTCAAGCAAACACAAATACACCCATATGGGTCAAGTAAACACAAATACACCCATATGGGTCAAGCAAACACAAATACACCCATATGGGTCAAGTAAACACAAATACACCCATATGGGTCAAGCAAACACAAATACACCCATATGGGTCAAGCAAACACAAATACACCCATATGGGTCAAGTAAACACAAATACACCCATATGGGTCAAGCAAACACAAATACACCCATATGGGTCAAGCAAACACAAATATAAACTAAACATATACAGAAAGTGAAGAACTACAAATATAAACATAAAAACATAGTTATAATGGAAATGTAACTTTTGATGGACATGGACCTCATTTTCGAAATTCTAAAGATTACTTTATACATTTAAAGTCACCAACTTCTGTCAAAAGCTCAGGTTCAGGATTTAAAAGTTGCTTAAGCTTTAAAATTGGTTGTAATCACTCTGTCCATCTGTTTGTCACACTTTCCTACATCGCACGATTACCCAAGTTTGCTGTAATCTGAAACTTGATCAGCTTTATGAAAGATTCCTTAGAGCTTGGCATTTCTGCGACTTTGTACAGTGGTTCTGAACTCATTGAAGGTGTGCATTTCCCCCTTTTCATAGCTTTAGGTTTGATTTTGGAAAAAAGGGTAGATTAAAGTTGGTGTTAACTGTTATCAGCATTTAAAATTTGTTGTTAACTGTTTTTGCCAAAATCGAGGTGTTGTTAACATGTTAACGGACCCCCTATTGCCCCCCCCCCCTTTATAGAAAAAAATAATATACATATATATTAAAGAGTCCGCCCTCAATTAAATCAAACTAAGTTTTGTAGATATGCACTTGGAACAAACAAAAAAAGAACATGTCCTTCTAGATCTGAATATTGAGGAAGATTCCCACTTATTTTTTAATTGCCCAATATTCTCTTTTGTTTGAAGATCGACTTTAGAGTGAAAACTCGTCTGAAATTTTATATTCTCGTTCTCTGGATACTGTATTTTATTCTCAAACAAGCGTCTGTCTAAATTTCATAAATTTCCATGAAGGTTTTATAAAGTCATTTAAACTTCAACCACAGACTGACTCTTAATGACACCAACGCCGGAATCTATAAGATCGGTATGACTCGCTTTTGTGATAAAAATGTCGCAAGCTCGACAAAAATTTATATAATGAATATTATTTGAATTATGTGACAAAGGGGTCTTCTATATATATATAGTGCTTGATGAGTCCCTAATCTTCTAATGGTACAAAAAAAAAACAAAAAAAAACAGTTAAGTCGTGAAGACATCAATGTGGGAACAACACATTCACGTTTACTCATTTTTAAATTCAAACCTAAATAACTTAACAATGGACAAAATCAGCATTACATTATGAGGTATTCCTTAATTGGAGGAAGATTCGGTTAAACTGTAACGGTAACAATTATGACTCCTACCTGCCTAATATATCTATATATATATATCTGTATGTGTCTGTATGTTCTATATTCACAACCAATAGTTAAACTGTTATAATATATTGAAAACAGACATTACTCAATGATTTGACAAATTTGTAGCAATACTCTAATCAAAATGACATTTCATAGCCTTTAGCCATAAATGACATTCACATTAGTTTATTTAAAAGATCAAAAAGTCTCAAATAGTCCATTGTCACAATGATCATTCTGTTGTACCACCACCGGATATAGTTACCCCGAAGTAACAAAAAAATAAAAGAAAAACACATCTTTGAAGCTACTTTATATTTCACATCCAAAAGAATTGATGCACTAATGATGTGTCCTCAAGTTGTTGCGATTACAAGCTACTTAGTTTATATTTCATATCAGTAAGCATTGTCGCAATGATTCTATTCCCCGTACAGTAAAAAAAAACCGTAGTTATTAACTACTCTCCGTTCAATTTATCGGCTATGTTTACATGGATTTCTATGTGAATACGATAGTTATTTCGAAATAAAGTGTTTTTCAAGCGTAAATATGATATAACTTTGTTCTACAAAAACTTCAAATGAATAGTTGAAGGATAAATGTGTTTTTAACAATTTTGAACTCGTCACATGCTTCTCAGAACAGGTACCACTCGACCTTAGGGGACGACCATATGATATTCTAGGGGGGGGGGGGGGGGGGGAGGGGGGGGGGGGGGTGGCAGGAGGATTTGTTTAGGATCGGTTATTTATTTTTTGAAAACTAAGAGGACAGATTATTTATTTTCTGCACTGTTGAAGCAAGATTTTTCATTTTCATTAAAACAAGGGACTGATTATTTATTTTCACAACTATATTTATAATATTTGAAAACATACAATTTTTAAATTCACT